TTCACATAACTTCAACTCTATTCATATTTTATGGCTCAGTGAACTCTTCAACAAATCATTTTATAAGCAAAAAATTTGTTGGACAATGACAGAAATAGTATATCAACTATATTTGCTTAACCAGTATTCGTCAAAATTAACTTACTTAGTCACAACAAAATTAATTTTGACTGCTGTCAAGTGATATTATTGCAAAAACGATTGACACCTGCTGAGCCGTCATCATTTGTCATCGATCAGTTACAGTTCATCAATTTTGGATGGCAAATATGTGTTCAGTTTTCATAACTGCTTAAGCAATTTTCGAATTGGGTGGAAGCAGGTCGGTGAACAATGATCAAACAATTTATCTACGTTCCTTTTAACTAGTAAGTCGAATGATCACAAATCAGCGTAACTGTTTTTGTCCTTTTGTAACTGTTTTCTACATTAGAACAGTGGAATTACTAGAAGTATTCGAACGCTTATCACTTATTCAGTTCCCAGTTACTTAACTGTAACACATATATTTTATTAGTCGTTCAAAGCCATCTGAACAGTTGCCCCCCCCCCCCACCCTCAAAAAAAGGAGAGAAATATGTTGGAGCAATCTGGATAAGATCAGTGGTCGAATTTTTTAACTTCGTTCCTGCCCTTTTTTTTTCTTTTTTAATTCTCCATATTTTTCCATAATGGACAAATAAATTTTATGCGAAGAGGGATGTTGTCTGATTTCTGTCAGTGTAGTTTTGTAAGTGTACTGACAGCAAACAAATATCAAACATAATTAGTGCATTTTTTTCCCCTATGTTAGCTTTTTCTTTCTTGCCAGTTATTTTCTTCTTTCAGTTTATTTATTTGTTTCGCTGCGCTTTTTTTCGTTCCACTGGATGGTTCATAATTTAAAAACTGCAAAAATAACAAAAATGACAACACGAAATGAAGAGCAGCAAATTTTTTTTGTGTTTTATTTAAGTTTCAAAAATAAGATTAATATTGAACGCTATACGCGGTGGAGAGGAGACAAAAAAAGCTTTGCACAGAACGGCTCTATAAACTTTTCAAGTGATTATTTTTTTTTCTTTTTAGTTTTCTTCTTATATTGTCGAATAATATCATTTAAATAAAAATATTTTATCGCCGTCCGGCAGGTAAACTAATAAATGATTTTACTGGAACTTATTTAATAAGAGAAAAAAAGATTGGAAGAACAAAGAGGTTGTCGGTCATACTAAGGGAAAAAAACAACAACAAAACAACGTAAAGTTCTATTTTTGTCTTCTTTCGCCTGCGGAACACTACCATGAGAAATACGATATTTGTTGATAAGTTTTATATGATGGAAAGACGCCGTTGAGATGCAACGGAAATAACTTGAGTACTGGAAGAGGAGAAGCCTATGGAAACTGGTTAAGCTCGCGGGCAGATGATGTCAACCTATAGTGTGTTTGCGAACTTCCTCCGCCCCCATCAACCTAACTCTCCTTCTCCACCTCCGCTTCTAACCCTGCTACCAGCACCTATAGTTTAGCTGCATAAACATAAATCAATGAACAATTTATCCCTAAATACCGAAAAAATCTCGGAACAAAATTCTGAATTCAATAGGAGGAAAAAAGACACGCATTTTAATAGCGGTATTTTCAATTCCCTTTTTTTTTGCTGTTGTTATTGGTACTGAACAGGAAGATCAAAAATTACTGGAAAAACCCTAAAAATTTAGCACAATAAAAATAAAATTAGTAAGAGTAAATTTGAAAATAAAGAAAAAACTTGTTCAAATCTTTTCAAATTTTTTTATTTGTTCATTTATCACATCTTTTTTGTTGACCAAGAGCAGAGAGAGATGAGGGGATGAGGGAATAACACCGCGATTAACGTTACTGCAGAATGACCACTCTTTATAAAGAAGGAAATGTTTGTTGCAGTTGTCGTTTGTGGCGTTGATAACTTTAGAGATAGTTATGGTGATGGCGATGCAGATGTCAGTGATGCTGCCGTCGCTCTGTTGCCTGTGCAAGGCATTTTGAACATTTACTTGATCTCTGTTGACAGATCAGCTGCACAAAAATCAGTGCTTCTTCAACTGTGGCAGCCAATAAAGAATAAAGAGCAGAGGGAAGAGGAAAGACAGGATAAGAGAAAGGAGGGAAACGAGGAACAAGCTGGACACAAGGGTGCTTCTTAGAGTTCTTTGTTGTTGAAGCAACATGCACTAAACAGCCGTTGGGCATACTCAGCTGGCGTGCCGTGTTGTTGTTCCGCCAATTCCAACTTGGGTATGGGCAAGTCAGCAAAGTTTTGCAGTCAGTGGGCAAGCAAGCAAGCGAGTAAGCGAATAGGCAAACTGTTTAGCTCCCTAACATGAAGCTAAGTAAGCAGACAACTGGGAGGAGGAGTGGACAAGTGGGAATAAAAAACCAACAAACAACAAACAACAGAAACAGCGGCAACAACAAAAACAACAACAACAACGACAAGCACAGCAGTAACAGCAGGCAATCATCGATCGACAAGCTATTAAAACTGGTTGGCTTTTTTTCCATACTTTTTGCTTCTCCATTCCAAATCCTTCTTTCTTCCCCGTCCTCCTTTCTTCTTCCTTGTGGTTTACTCTTATCGAGCTAGCAAATCGTCTGAGAGGAGGGAGGCATAAATGTTCGTCGCGCTTCCAAAAAGCAAAGCAGCCCATAAACAGCGAACTAAATGTTTGTTGCTTGAACAGCAAAATGCAATACATACACACAAACATACATACATATGCATACATATGTATCCATCCGTCCCGTATGTGTGTGCGCTTAGAGTTTTTTGGTCATATGGAGGGATAGGGGAAAAGCTAGGCTGATTGAGCGAATGAACCTTTAAAAAAATGTTGCTGCAGCGTTTCCTTAACTTAATTCAACGTTTTTGTTGGTATTTTCTGTTGCTTTCCTGGATTACACGAGTATAGTTCATTGATCCTGAACCAATAAAACGAAGAAAAAAGGGAAAGTAAGGGATGTAAAGAGGATGGGAAGGAAGAAACGAAAGAAGATAATAATAATAATA